CTGAGCACCCGGTGGGCGCGGGCCAGCTCGCGCTGCTGGTCCTGCTCGTCCTGCCTGTTCACTTCGGCCTTCAGCCAGAGGCGGGCCTCTGCGCCCAGTCTCCCTCCGACCTCCAGGACGAAGGGGACAAGGCGTTCGCCTGGGTCACGCGAGTGCTCGTCACGTTCACGCGGGCGCCAGAGAAGACGCAGACACCGACACCAACAGAAATAAATTCGCCGACCCCTGCTTCCCGGGGGTGACAAGGCGTGTGAGATGACTGGCTCTCCCCTCACCCTTTCCGCCTCCTCTGGGTCAAAAATCCCGTCAGGGGGAAGGGGGGGGCCAGGGAGGTCCCCACGAGCTCGTCAACGCACCTCCGGGGCCCCTGGAGCCTCCAAATCCACCTAAGTGGCCGCCAAGATGCCCAAGGCGCTTTGCAAGATGGCTCCAGAAAGGCTCGAACACTTGTTTGATCCGCGGGTCGAGAGCGAGCCTCTTCCGGTCGAAGCTAACAAAAAGAAGGGCTCGAACACACAGGAGAGGCTAAGGCGCCCCAAAAAGGCCCCAAGAGGATCCCAAAGAAGGCCTCAAGATGCCAAAATCCATAATTCCCCGTGCGCTTTTGCATGACTTTCGCGTTCTCCTATTCTCGGGCTTCTGAGAAGCCCATACGGCCCGACAGGCCCCCAAGACTGGCAAGAGGACCTGGAGACAGTCCAAGAGGTCGCTGAGACGGCCCAAGGAGGCCCCCTAGACGGCCAAACAATTTTTCATAAGGGCCCTACGAGGGGCGCAAAAGACGCCCAAGAGGGTGAACTCGCAGGAACCCCAGGCGCTCTCCCTCAAAAGATGGAACCAAGACCCCTACATACCCCGTAAGTCCCCCAAGAGGCCCACAAGAAGCCCCCAGAGGGCAAGGCTCCAAGAGGCCGCTTCCTAGGCCTCCAAGATGTTTCCAAGAAGCCCATCCAAACAGACGCGGAGGAAGAGGAAGACGACTCGGAAACAACTACACGCAGGCAGCGCGTTGGGAAGTGCCAGACAGCTCGCAGATATCGGAAGCCGCACATATCCTCTTTGGGGGGTCGGCGGAATGGCGTAAGCTTCTTGAAAAACGAGATGTGGAAACAAGAAGAATCCCAACGCAATTGCATGTAACACAGGGGGTTTAGCTCTCCTCATGTGCTGCGCGCCGCGGGAGGCAGAGATCGAGGGGAGTGCAGGGGGCGGCGGCCGCGCTGCAACCTCGAGGGGCGCAAGGGGACGAGGGGAGGGGCAGGAAAAATGAAGACTCAGGGAGTGGCAACGCCATGCGGGCGCGCCCTCTGGGGCCGTAGCTGGAACCCCAACTAGGGGCACGAAACGTGTGAGGGGTGTGCCGACTTGGGCGTGGCGACGCCATGCGGGCGCGCCCACTGAGACCATAGGCTCCCTACAGCGACATGAACCGTGTGAGGAGTGTGCCGCCATCGTAGCTGGAGGCCCTTACATGGGCACGAAATCTGCGAGGGCAAAATATGAATGGAGCTGGAGAAGCCATGCGGGCACTGAGGCCGAATGTGCCGACCTGAGCGTGGCGACGACATGCGGGCGAGCCCACTGGGGTCGTGACTGGGAATCTGTTCGGGGCACGAGACGTGTGAGGGGTGCGCCGAAAAGACATGACGACGTCATGCAGGCGCGCCCACTGGCGCCAGAGTTGGAGCTCCCTTGGGGCACGAAGCGTGTTTGAGATGTTCCATACTGGGCGTGGCGCGGCCACTGGAGCCGTAGCCGTGGCCCCCTTGTGAGGCACGAAACGGGCCTGAAGCGTGCTGAGATGAACATGGCGAAGACATGCAGGCGCGCCCACTGGAGCCGTAACCAGGGCTGACTGCAGGGCACGGAACGTGTGAGCGGTGTGCCGACGCGGGCGCGGCAACACCATGTGGGCGCGCCCTCTGGAGCTCTGCCTGGGGCTGCCTGCGGTCAGGAACTTGTGCTCAGCGCATCGCGGCGGCGGCCCCGGCGACACGCCAGCCCGCTCGGAGGGGCGGGACGCTGGGAAAGGCTCCGGCCGTGGACGCATGGAGACCTCGAAGTGGACGCGCGTCGCGCCGCAGCGCGGTGGGCCCAAGACCGGCGGAGCGCCACACTATCCAGAAGCTCCCGACCGTATGGGGCAAGAAAGGTGTGAGCGATGTGCCCGCATGGGCGTGGCGACGCCATGCGGTAAGCATGCAGCAGACGGGCAGCAGCAGACGACGATGATTATCGGGCCGCGGCGGCAGTATCGTCAGCGGCAGCGGCCGACAGGGGCAATGGTGGCGGCGTGCAAGAGGCTGCGCAGCGGCATCAGCGACAGGAGGGGGAGGAGAGGAAAGACGTGAAGGAAGGAGAAGACGGGCGCGCGGCGCATCGGAGAGAGGAGGACACAACTCCATTGGATGGCTGGGGGGAGAGGGGTGGGCGGGGCAGCAAGAGGGGGGGCCCAGAATTACGGGACACACACACGGCGTGACCTCTTCCTTCCACAGCCTTCGGAGCAGATATTGGCGAGGCTCTGAGTCGAATCCCGCCCTCACGGTCCTTGGCCAGGACGATGTCCACGCCACTAATCCAGACCTCACAGGGTGCAGCAACAAGCACGGGGGGAGGAGCAGCAGAAGAACGACAAACGGTATCAGCAGAAACTTTCGAAGGTCCCAGCGGATTTCTTGAGTCGGCGATGGCCACCTCTCCCCTGGCGCGCGATGCGTGCCAGCGCGCCAGGGTGGCGCTGGAGGCGCCGCGCGGACCTACAACAGTCTGCGCGTGGTGCAGCAATCGTAAGACGAGAATACTGTCATGAAACGATTGGCTCCAGACGCGCCCTGGCAATTCAGGAATTCATTCGAACTCGACCATTCGTCTCCTGCCGCGCGGGGCAAGAAGGAAACCTGTAAACCCTGAAACATGTCATGATCACTACTTCACGCTCGCCTGATGTCTGCCTCTTGGAGAACACGTTCGCCAGCGTGGACCCCAAACAATGCGTTTTCGCGCAACGACCGTTGCCAGCGACAACGGACGGCAACGGGCAATTACTGCAACAACTGAAAGTACTGCTAGCACGACGAGTACGACTACTACCACCACCACAAGCACCACCACAATTACTACTACTACTACTACTACTACTACTACTACTACTATTACTACTACTACTACTACGACGACGACGACGACGACGACGACTATGACGACGACGACGACGACGACGACGACGACGACGACGACTACGACTACTACTACTACTACTACTACTACGACTACTACTACTAGTACTACTCCTACTACTACTACTACTACTACTACTACTACTACTACTACTACTACTACTACTACTACTACTACTACTACTACGACTACTACTACTACTACTACTACTACTACTACTACTACGACTACTACTACTACTACTACTACTACTACTACTACGACTACTACTACTACTACTACTACTACTCCTACTCCTACTCCTACTCCTACTACTACTACTACTACTACTACTACTACTGGCACGACTACTACTAGTACCACCACCACTACTACTACTGCTACTACTGCTACTACTACTACTACTACTACTACTAAGTGTACCACTTCACGACTACTACTACTGCTACCACGTCTACTATTAGTACTATTAGTACGTACTACTACTAATAACTAACTACTACGACTACTACTACTACTACTACTACTACTACTACTACTACTACTACTACTACTACTACTACTACTACTACTACTACTACTACTACTACTACTACTACTACTACTACGACTACTACTACTACTACTACTACTACTACTACTACTACTACTACTAACTATTACTTACTACTTCTACTACTGCTACTACTACTACTACTACTACTACTACTACTACTACTACTACTACTACTACTACTACTACTACTACTACTACTACTACTACTACTCTACTACTACTACTACTACTACTACTACTACTACTACTACTACTACTACTACTACTACTACTCTACTACTACTACTACTACTACTACTACGACTACTACTAGTACTACTACTACTACTACTACTACTACTACTACTACTACTACTACTACTACTACTACTACTACCACTACTACTACTACTACTACTACTACTACTACTACTACTACTACTACTACTACTACTACTACTACTACTACTACTACTACTACTACTACTACTTAGCACCCCGAAGTTGCGGATAAGAGGGCAAGGGGCGGCGAGGCCGTCGGCACTCAGCGAGTCTGTGAAGAAGCCCGCAGCAGGCGCCTAGCTTTGAAAAATTGCACAGCGCGCCCGCCACAGGCGCTGATTTCTTCGTTAAAGCAGTGTGGGTGGGTCGCGGGCTGGGTCGCGGGTGCGTCGCGGGTGGGTCGCGAGTGGGTCGCGGGTGAGTCGCGGGCCGGGTCGCGGGTGCGTCGCGGGTGGGTCGCGGGCGCGTCGCGGGTGGGTCGCGGGCCAGGTCGCGGGTGGATCGCGGGTGGGTCGCGGGCGGGTCGCGGGCAGGTCGCGAGCGGGTCGCGGGCTGTGTCGCGGTTGGGTCTAAGTCGCGGGTGGGTCGTGGGGTGGGTCGCGGCTGGGTCGCGGCTGGGTCGCGGCTGGGTCACGGCTGGGTCGCGGGCCAGGTCGCGGGCCAGGTCGCAGGGGGGACGACGACATCAACAACAACAACAACAACAACAACAACAACAACAACAACAATCATTTTAAGACTGGTCGCTCTTACGTGCTCGCGTGCCGTTAAAGACGTATACCCCAATCCCTCAATACCTGCCTTCTTCATTGTCGATCGCACCCCATGGGGGTATAGCTTTCTTACATGTAACGTGTATTTCGTGCAGCCCCTAAGACAGGGGAAGAGAAGACGGATGGAAATAATAGACGACAAGGGGGAGGGAGAAAGATGGAGCACGAGAGAGAATAGCATGAAGGGGGCCAAGAGCAAAAAACAACTGGCAGAACCAGACGGGCAGATCGGGCGGGTGGAACCAGACGGGCGGGTCGGGAAGGCGGGCCCAAGCGGCCAGGTCGATCAGGCGGGTGGCTGAAGCGTGCGTTCTGCATGAATCATGAGGACGTCTCGAGCGATAGCGCGATTTCCAAGTATATCGCAAGGAAATCCGTAGCGAAAGCGCGATTCCTGCGTGTCGAGGGCGCGGCGTCTGAATAAATTGCGAGGAGCTCCCACGCGAGAGCGCGATTCCTTATAATTTGTGAGGGTCTCCCGCGCGAAGGCACGATTTTGGAATAAATTGTGAAGAAATATCAGGCGGGGGCAAGAAGCCCAATTTGGTGACCCCTTACTTTCCCGTGTCGCCCTCCGCCGCTTCGGGCTGCCAGACAAGATGTTAGAGATTGTCCAAGCGATCTACACCAACAGGCATTTCGCAGTTCGCGAGGCAGGCGAAACCTCGACGGGAGCAACAGGCTGGCATCTGCCAGGGTTGTCCCTGATCTCCGCTATTATTTGCCATCCTGATGACTGTCCTCCTCCGAGACGCGCAAGCCTCGCTCGGCGACGCTGCTGGCGACGTCAGCGACCTGTTGTACGCGGACGACGCGCTGATCGTCGCCCTGGGCGCTGTGGAGGCGGAGCTGTACATGAAGGCCATCTCGGATGATGGCGCCAACTACGGCCTGCAGTATAACTGGGAGAAGCTGGAGCTCATGGCCACAGGGTGCAACGCTTCTGCCACACTCAAGTCTGACGGCTGCCCCACCCCAGAAAAGAAAAGCATGGTCTACCTGAGGAGCGTCCTGACATCCGACGGGTCCGTCGGAGCGGAACTGAACCGGCGGATCGGCCTCGCCCGATCACTTTTCGATTCCTCACAACGCATCTGGTCTCATTCCTTGTCGGCCAGCAGGGTTGAGTCGACTCTCTTGTATAGTCTGCGCACGTCTTGGTTACGCAAGCACGAATTAGTGAGGTTGAATGCATTTCAGGCGCGCTGCCTGCGTAAAACTCTGGGCATGGCGCATTCATATGTCAGTCGCGTCCCCAACGCCGAGTGTCTTCAGCGAGCCCAGCGGGCCAAGCTCAGCGACCTTCTGTTGCAGGGGCAATTGATTTGCTCGGTGATATTGCTTGCAAGTGCAAAAACCATCCTGTCAGGCAGTTCGTTTTCCAACCTTCCTCCTCCGACTTGGCACAGCAACCCGGCCGCCGAAAGAGGGGCAGGCCCCGGCAGGCGTGGGCGTCAGAGTTGCATAAGCGTGCGCAGCATATTTGTCGTGATGTTGGTTGTCATACAAGTAATTTGGGCACCTTGACAGCAAAAGACTGGAAAGCGGCAGTGCGCAAGTATACTGTCTAGCGCACGCGCGTGCCATTGCTCATGTGCCTACGGACACGCGGCTTCATTCATTCTCACTTTCCCTTCTAAAAAAAACAAGGTGCGGACCCTGGGAAGGGCACTTCAATTGAAAAACACAATGATGCCGGAGAGAACCAAAATCAAAGTCGTATGGGACTATTGGGCTATAGGGCGATGGGGCTGTAGGGCTATGGAACTATAGGGCTATAGGGCCATAGGGCTATAGGTCTATAGGGCTATAGGGCTATAGGGCCATAGGGCTATAGGGCTGGAGGGCTATAGGGCTATGTGGCTATGGGGCTATGGGGTTATGGGGCTATAGGGCTATAGGGCAATAGGGCTATGAGTCTATAGGGCTATGGGGCTATAGGACCAAGGGCTATAGGGCTACAGGGATATAGGGCTATGGGGGGTATAGGGCTATGGGGCTATAGGCAATAGAGCTATAGAGCTATAGGGCTATAGGGCTGTAGGGCTACAGGGCTATAGGGCTATAAGGCTACAAGGCTACAGGGATATAGGGATATAGGGCTATAGGGCTATAGGGCTATGGGACGATAGGGCTATCGGGCTATAAGGCTCTAGGGCTATAGGGCTATAGAACTATGAGGCTATAGGGCTATTGGGCTGTAGGGCTATAGGGCTATAGGGTTATAGGGCTACAGGACTGTAGGACTATAGGGCTGTAGGGCTGTAGGGCTATATAGCCACAGGGCTATAGGGCGATCGGGCTGTAGGGCTATAAGGTTATAAGGCTATAAGGCCATAGGGATATAGGGCTATGGCGCTGTTGGTCTATAGGGCTACTGGGCTATGGGGCTATAGGGCTATAAGGCTAAAGGGCTACTGGGCTATAGGGCTACAAGGCTATAGGTCCCTATAGGCCTATGGGGCTATAGGGCTACAGGGCTATAAGGCACCCGGGCACCGGGGCACTGGGGCACCTAGGCACTCGGGCACCGGGGCATCCGGGCACCGGGGCACCCGAGCACCCGGGCACCATGGCGGGCCGCGGAAATCGGTAACGAACCTCACCTAACCATATGAATCCGCTAGGACCCCAAGAGAGGCAAGCTCTGACTGGGGAATGTGCTCCGGAGGGGGGGGGATCAACAATAGTTGTTCTGCAAGAATGGAAAACCAGCAGCAACAACAACAACAATCCGCACCGCAAAACCTCAGTTCAGCCACCCGCCCAGAGGCAGTGAAGGACCGTTCGGCCACCTCGCTCTCTTACTACTACTA